CGGCGGCCCGCAGTGCCCGCGCCACCGCTTCCGGGCGCTCGCGCCTCCCTCCACGCAGCCTGGTCACGTGCGGCCCTGTCCCCAGTGTCCCCCCCACGCCCCTGCCGTCGCTTCTGCTTCCCCTCGAACGGTTCTGTTTCCTGAGGACGCAGCGGAGGCTTCCCCAGGTTCTGTCTGGGACCTGCACCATCCGCGGGCTACACGGTGCCGGCTCCGGGCCCAGCGGGGGGGTGGGGGGGCTCCCAGAGCCGCAGGCCCAGAGACACTGACCGGCGGCCGCCTCCCCAGTGCCCGGGACGCCGGGCAGGCTGGTCTACGCTGACCGCAGGCCGCGCCCCGCTGGGCTGCGCTCGCTTGCACTGGCGCCCGGCGCCGTTCGCACCCCTTCTTTCTCCTCGGTACCCCACCTCTGCCCCAGGCCCCACACGGCACGAGTCCCGCACTTCACAGGCAGGGGGGCGTCCCTTCCTCACGTCACACCTCCGGCCCTGGGCTGCGGCGAGGGGTGGCTCGGACGCGCGGCCGAGACCGCCGAGTGCCAGGCACCGAGCTGCGCGGGGCGGGACGAGCCCGCGCCCCACGGGCCCAGTGCGCCAGCGCACGAGAAACGCCGTCGGGGTGAACCCGCGACGCCCGCCAGGCGGGATGCCAGGGGCCGCGCTGCCCGGGCCAGGCCGGCCGGCCAGAGGGAGGCTGTCCTCGCGAGCAGAGGGCACCTCGCCGGGCAGCGCCTCCCTGGAAAGGGTTCCAGAAGGTTCCCTGGGCGGGCGCCACAGATGGGTATAGCTGCATCCGGTATAACTGCATGGCCAACTATCCACGCCACTTTCATTTTGAGCTAAAAAAAATCGGGATGTCAATAAAGTGTAAAACACTTAACTTCCCACCAAATGACGTTGAAAGTATAAATTGTGAGTTGTGTGTCTTGGACAGATCATTCGACACGGCTGAAGGGGTAGAGGGCGTGTAAGATGTGCAATTTTCAGATTTAGTACGTTTTTCCAGGTTTTTCAAAGAGAACCAAAAACAGAAGAAAATTCAACAGGCAGTTTCTCTAATTTCTGTGTCTTACACATTTTCCACGGTATTTCTGGGTGAGACTCATGCTTCAAAAGTGCGGTTTCACTATGACAAAGCAAATCAAAGCCTCGGGCCGCAGGCCCCGGGGCAGCAGCCAGCACGTGCCCTTGCAGGGCAGCGCCGGCCTCCGTCCGGCCCCCGGGGGCAGAGCCCCACTCTCGCCGCCGCCCACACGCCGGCCGGCCGGCCTTCTGGCCACACACCTCCGTCACCCCAGCCCGCTCCACCTGCGCTGAAATGGGCAGAGAGGCCTGAGGCGCGTTCCCTGCCCGCGACACGGCTGCAGGGAAGAGACACAGAAACCAGAGAGGACGCTGCGCTGAGGACGGACGAGGCGGTGGGGCTAACGCGGAGTTCACAGCCAGGTCAACTCTCTCTCGGGCCAAAGGAGAAAAGCCCGGGCCCGTGTCCACCTCCCCGGCCCGGGGCTCAGCGGCAGCTCCGGCCCACCCACCTTGCACTCTCCGTTCTGATACAGGCAGTTCCTCAGCAGCTGCATGGCGGTGCTTAGCTCTCTGGTGACACCGTCCTCCTGGGAAGGCAAAAGGGAGCTGAAACGCCGGCCCGGTGCCCGCTCTCCCCCTCCGGAACCCCGGCCCCTCGCCTCGGTGAGGGCACCGCGCGCCCGCCGGGCCTCCGAGGACTGACGCGCACGGTCCCCACGAGATGCCAGGCGGCGGGAAGCTGCTGCTGTCAGCATGGAGGCTGCACGCCCCCCTCGGTGAAGGGCAAACGAGCCACGGGCTGTTTTTTAGTCCTGTCGGGACTTAAAGCTCAACATCACTGACCATCAGGGAAGTGGAAATCACCCGCGAGCACGGCCCCGGTCGGAACGACCAGGAGCCAGCGCTGGCGAGGACGTGGAGGAAAGGCCCGTCCACGCGGGTGGGACCGCCGCGTGGCGATTCCCTGGACTAAAAGAGGAAACCCCCGACCAGGAACAGCAAGCCCTGCATTACCCCAGTCACACCGGAACGTGGGTGTCGATGTTCGCTGAGTCCCATGGTCACAGCGGTATATTCGCGACAGCCCAGGCGTGGACCCGACTGAACACCCACGGATGGAGGGCGGGGCGAGAGCGTGGCCCAGGTACTCAGTGGACACCGCTCGGCCATGAAGAAGACCCAGCGGAGAGTCTGGGTCAGTGTGGCCAGCCTTGGGTGGACCACACCAAGGGACGTGAGTGGACGGCGAGACCGCCGCCGTGCAGGTTGTCTCGTTTGCGGAGCATGAACAGCAGAGAAAAAGGAACCAACAAACATGACACACGTGAGACCAGAGTCGGTGACGACGGGCCAGCGAGGGCTAGCGAGGGCCAGCGAGGGCGGGGGCGGGAGGCGGGGCTGAGGGACATGTCCGGTGTGAGCTACTCCCAGAGGTCTCACTTTTCTAAATCAATCAAGTCAGTAAGATGTTGATGGAAAAAGGTCTCCACATGGGAAAAAGCCACACACGCTCAAGCCCCGCACCCCAGACCTGCCGGGCAGAAACCCCGCTAGCGCCTCTGGCTGCGGCTTGCAAACCGCCCTTCCCCGCCACGCAGGCGGCAGCCACCAGCACGGGCCTGGCGGGAGGCCTCCCTGCCCCCCCGGGGCTCCTCGCCCCGGCTCTCAGGGCCCCCTACCTTCTTCCTCAGTGCCGCTCTCCCAGGCCGCAGGGAGTCGAGGTTCAGCTGGGCGCCAATGTGCTTCATCTGAGCCAGGCAGCCGTCGATCAGAGAGGCTGGAAAACCACACGGGAACGGGCAAGTCCACCTCCGAGCGAACGCAAGCCGCGCGGACAATGCAGTCGCAGACAAGGACGCCGCGGGCTGACCAGCTCCACGTCAGCGCTCAGGGACAGATTCAGGGAAGCCAAGGGACAGAGCGAGCACCGAGACGCCAGAGCCCACTGGGTGCCAGCTCAGCCTGGCGTGGAGCAACCGGTTGGAGGCGCAGTTGGTCTTAGCGGCAAAGCATAATACACATTAATGAACTTGATGTCGCTGTTATTCTCACTAACCCTAAGACCCGTGTCTCCTGACCGCAGATGAGAAATGACAGCACCCTGCAGGGGAAACAGGTACGAAGACACACACTCCCCTAACCACGCCCGATTACTAGCCAAGCTATGTGATTGTTTTCCTTTCAGATACATGATAGGTGCTTATGGTTACTAAAAATTATTACGAAGTCAAGTGAGGTGTTCCTTTTAAAGCTTCTCTAGCCTTGAGATACAGGTTCGCTAGAGGAAGAATCATTGCCCTAACATAATCTACCCAGAATGGATACTCCTTTTAAAAGTTATGTCCAAAATAACACATAAAAATGTACACTGGGCCCTCCCTGGTGATGCAAAGGGTTAAAGCGCAGCACTGTCAAGCTGTCTGCAGCCACTCGGCACAGGTTCGATCCCCGGCCAGGGAGTGACCCACAGAGCGCAGCAGACCTCTCCTGTCTCCCCACTGCTGCCTTCAGCAGTGATTTCAGTAGATCTGCCTGTTCTGCCCCCCGCTCTGTCTCTCCCCTTCGTACTCTGACCTGTACCCCAGTTCTTGTACCCATAAATAAAAAATACTCTTTAAAAAGAAAGTACAATTGTTCTAAATAACATATGCATGTTTCCATATGGGAAACAAAAAACTATTTTTTTTAGTTGTACTCAGATTGTAAGTTCTTTACATGTTGAGTCCAGAAGAAGTGAGGTGCGCAGGCAGTGAATGCGTTAGCTGCCAGCGGCGCCCCACGGCCGGGGCGTGGCTCACCTCGCAGCGCCAGCTTCTGGGCCTGCCGGCTCACGGCCAGGAGCGCCAGGAGCGCGTTCGCAGCCGCTCTCCGCAGGGCGTCTCTGGAGGATGTTACTTCGTAGCACTGCAAAGAGCACAGATCAAGCCGTGGAGACAGACAATCTGAACAAGGCTGCTGGGAGGAAAACACAACTTCCACTGAACGGGTCCCTCACTAGGTGACAACCATTCCCAGGGATTCGCCGGACCGTGATAAATCGCTAAGATGCGGGGTGCGCTACGTGGGTGAGGTGCAGAAATGTGAGAGGGAAGTGTCCACCGATCACATTCAAAAGCTCATCCGAGGATAAAAGTCTCTTCAGGTTGGACACGTGGCAAGCCCACGCGCTCCCTGAGGGGCCCCTGGAGAGTGCCGTGGAGCGAGGCGCCGTCTGGAGACACGGCCGGGCCGGCCTGCACCCACGGCCCGGGGCTGGCTCTCCCCAGCCTTCGTGTCCACCGCGCTCGCTACCTCTCACAGGCCGAGGCTTTCAAAGAGCTTCTCTCTTTTTCTGACTCATATAAATGAACTCACTTGTCATTGTGCAAATGCTATTTTGGTCTATTTCCTTTATACATCTGAATTTCCAAGGGATTACAAGGTGACAAGAGCGGTGAAAACACGGTCGCAAGTCCTCTCCCAGAAAAACAAGGAAGTGTTCCAAGTAAACACCACCGCGGCAGCATCTCTCCGCGCAGCCCGGGGGGGGGGGGGGGGGGGGGGCCGTGGGTCTGTTTAAACGCCACGCTCTCCTGGCGGCCACCTCGTCCGTGCGTGCCGGCCCGCGTCTGCCGGCCAGGGCGCGTGGCTCTCCAGAAAAGGTGAAGAGCAGGCGCCAACGGGACATCGGCATCGCCCAGCCGCGCAGTGCCTGGCCACAGCCCGCGGGCAGTGGACTCGCTGTGCGTTTTAGCGCTCCCTGAGCACCGGAACAGAACGCGGCTCCACAGCCCGATGCCGCGCGAGGATTACGGTGGACGGACGCGCCACCTGCTGTGGACATGGGTGCACCTGTGCCCGTGCCGGCAGGCAGAGGGCATCGGCTCGAAACCCTGCGTCCCCTGGCCCTGGCAGACCGCAGCTGACTCTGCTTTTCACACTGCCCAGCGCCGCCCGGGCCCAGGGCACGGACCTACGAGACGCGTGTGGTCAATCAGGGTGCGGGCGCCGGGTGTGCTCCGGCAGCTCGCCGGGGAGTGTGGTCCATAAGCCAGAGCCACACGGAACATTCTGTCTCTTTTGTGATCCAGAAGAAATGATGAGAAAACTGGACAGCAGGGAGGAGGGTCATGGTCACGCCCTGTGGCTCCAGGTACCTCATGTCCCTGGTAATAGGCCAACACGCACGATGACTTGTATAATGAGCAATATTACAGAACAGTAGGGAAAATTAAGAGCAAAGGAAGCTTAGCACAGTCCCAGGCAGAGTCTCCCCTGAGCGCACGCGTGTCATCTGGTTCACGTCCAGACGTGGGCCCCTGTGGCGATCACTGCAGCAGTGACACGCAGAGTGAAGCTGGGACACAGAAGGGCCCAGACGTGGCCACAGGACGCTGAAGGACTGTGTGAGGCCCAGGCCGTGGGCCTTCCCGCCTCGGGTGCTGCTCACTGAGGGAATGAAACCCAAGCCACTTAAATCCCTGAAGACACAAACCCACAAGAGCCAACACCCTCTCCCCAAGAGCAAATCGCTCCACCAAAGCCTCAACCACAATATCACTCTCTGGGTCGGCGCTCGGGGACGCCTCCTACAGGTGTACTGGAGTTTTCCTGCTTATGACAGTCTTTGCGGTGCAAAGTCCATTTCAGTTCACCGTTAGGAGAACTGGTGGCAGTGCGTGAGCTCAGAGGGGTGTCCAGGTTGGCTGGTGCCCTAAGTAAAGGGGCAGCGGCCTCAGGATGGCAATGGGGTGAGCCCTAGGAGACCCGGGGGCCCTGGTTGGCCCAGCTCCCACAGCCACTGCGACCTACGGGCAGAGAGACGGAGGCCCCTGGGCCGTCCCACGGCCTGAGGAGAGACCGAGGCCCCCCCACCGGCCGCCCCACAGCCTAAGGAGAGACTGAGGCCCCCAGACCGCCCCACGGCCTGAGGAGAGATTGAGGCCACCCCACGGCCTGAGGAGAGACCGAGGCCCCCCGGG